GAAAAAATCGTTGAATACATAAGTCAAAAAACAATGGATGAATGAGTTCTCCCCATCTGTCCCAGCCCCTGCATTCCTGCTACTGAATGCTCAGATCAGTGAGGCTGCCAGTCACAGAGCAGTTTTCAGGAGAAAAGCAGCTGACACTGGTTTGGGGTTGGGTAGAATCTCTCCTTCCCATCTGATTTCAAAACATCCATACCTGAATATGGCCAAAGTCAACATTCTCATAGTGGAAATGGGCACAGTCGGCCAGCCGAGGAAAGGGACCTCGAGGAGCTGAGAGCCTGGGAGATAGGCAACACATCACCAGCAGCTCCTTCCTCTAGCTGCCCTCCCTCCTAAGATAGGTCTTTACTTCCCTCACCCCTCACCTCTTCCCAGGCTTCCCCTTCACACTGGGCCCTCCAGTAGAGGGAACAGGCTGCACTGAGCCCTCCCCTGGGCCATCCAGGCTGTCAGTGCTTCGGGCCTGTAGAGCAGAGAGAAGAATCAGAGGCCCCCAGAGATGGGAGCAAATAGACAACGGAGCATTGTTATCTGCCAGCCTGGCCCTAGAGGCTGGGGTGCTCCACACACCGTCCTGAGGACCGGGTAAAAGGGAGGTCAACAGGAGGTGAAGGCTGGAGTAAGGATAGCCCTGCTTCTTTGTGTGTGGTCTGGAGTGGAGGACTGGAGAGCAGGGGCTAAGGGCAAGGCAGGCAACAGAAGAGAGTGGATGCTGGTTTCATCTCTTTCTGTATAAGACCCTCGATAGCCCCTGTAGGGGACAGTCATGTCCTGCCATTGTCTGAACATTCACAGTTCATGTCTTGTAAGTCTGCTACTTTTAACCTCTTCCTTTCCACTAGCTTCTTCACAAGTTTCAGGACCATTTCACAAAACACAAATCTGGTCCCGTCTCTCAGTAGTTCCTGGCCCTCCAATGGCTCTGTTGTATTCAAAATGAAGTCGGGATTCTCTAGTCTGATATACCCTGTGCTGTCTACCTCTCCTGTCCCACTCTACTGCCCTACCCTCAAAGCTCTTGAACTTCAAAGAATCCAGCAAGTCTCACATTTTCATTTCCTCAACCTGGAAACCTGGTCCTTGCCTGATCAGCAGGCTCTCTTCTTTTTCTTTCCTCCTCCTTGACCCTTTAGGCTGTCCCCAACATCTCTTCAGCCGTCTTGAGCATTCCTGAGATGCCACTCTCTGGTGACAAGCCCATCTCCTCCACTGGATTTTTACCTCCCCAGAAGCTGGGCCCAGGCCAAGACCCCCATTATGCCCAGCACAGAATTGGTGCTCTTCACTGGGAGGAATGTACCAGATTCTTCTCTGAGTCCCCAACACCCAGGGCCAGCCCAGTCACACAGCAGGAGCTGAGTAAAATCTGATGAATACATTAACCAGCTGCCAGATGGGTATTCAAGAATTGACCAGACTGGGCTCTAGCTTATCCCTCCTCCATGTCCCTGCAACCCCAAGTTCATCCCTGGGTCTCACCCTCAGGGTCTGTCCCCTGCCAGCCCATGAAGCTCCCCAAGGCAGGATGGGATCTGACTCTCTCTGTGTCTGGAGCATGGGGCCTGCACAGAGGAGGTCTCAGTGAATGTCTGTTGAGTGAGGAAATGAATGGATGAATGAGGGAGCAGTATGGTGGGTGAGGGAGATGGTGGAGGAGGGGAGACTGAGGACAAGAAGATGGAGCAGACCCAAGGATGGAAAAGGGTAGAGTATTGGTTTGTTGAGTGAAGTATGGAGGGGGATAGCTGGAGAGGTGAGGGAAAGGTTCAGATGGATGGCAGTGGGACTGAGATGGAGTGGAAATGAGGGAGACCGAGAAGAAAAGGGTCAGGCTGAGGATGGAGCAGGGTGGGGGTGGGGCTCAAGCACGAGGAAGGGGCTGTTGGGAGGAGGAGGGGGGCTGCACTGGGGCGGGTGAGGATGCCAGGAAGGCTGGGGATGGAGGCTGGTTTCCAGGGATCCTCGAAAGAGCCTGCGGGGATCTGCGGGGGCCCTCCGCTGGACCAGCCCCTCCTCCTGTCAAGCCGAGGTCCTCCGCCACGGCCACCCAATTCACGGCGTGGAAGGAACGCGCGCGGAGGGGGCGGGGTCGAGACCAGGGCTCGGACCCTGCACCAGGCCAAGGGAGGACAGGGTCTAAGAAGGGTGAGGGGCGGCGCGGGCCTCGGGGTCGGGCGGGGCCGGGGGCGGGGCACGCAGGGCGGGGCCGCGCGCGGACAGACTGACACGCGGACAGACAGACTGACGGCCTTGTGGGCCCCTCACCACCATGGTCGCGTAGCCTCCCCTCAGGCCCCGGCCGCGTTCCACCATTCGTTCATAGTCGTCGGCACCGTCGCCACCGCCGCCGCTACCACCGTCGCCGCCATGGCGACACAAAGGGGAGGGCGCGAGCCGCGCGCGGGCCCCTGTAGACCCCGCCCCTAACGGCTGCCCGAGGCAGCAGCGCGCGCCCACGAGGGCGGGGGGGGGGGCAGGGAGCCGGGACGCGGCGCCGCTTCTCATTGGCCCCGCCCTTGGCCTTAGGGCAACTCCCCGCCCACTTGTAGTCTTTTCATGGGCTTTCTTTGCTTTGGGCTCCACCTCTAGCTGTCTCTTCAGTCCCGCCTTCCGAAGTTTGACAGCGCCTCGCCCATGACTGCTTTTTTAGTTATCCCCCCCCGGAGACACACCCCTCAGGTTCTTTATGCTTTGCATCCGACTCCTCTAACACCGGTTCCCCTTACTCCTCTCTCCGTGACACTCTTCCGACAATTTTATGTGGAGTCACCCACGACGAGGGCTTTGTTTCATTCCTCAAGCAGCTTTTCAAAGCCCTAGATTCTCCAGTCCCATTCTATCAGTCCCGACCCCGACCCCACCTACAGAATCAGGAGGGCGCCCCTCCCACGTTCATCCCCCCCCCCCCCGCTTCACGTACCCGGGACATAATTTTAGATTTTAAGCGACCTGACCTCACCCTGCCTATTAGACATTTTCCTTGTCCTCTCTTCTACTGGCCTCCAGTCTTCTTTTTCCTGGGAAAAAGATTTAGCCTGCAATACTGGCACACTATTATAGTCTTGCCTCCCACAAAGCCAATCCTCATCGTTTCTACAGCTGACTGAGACGTGCCCAGGGCGCTGTCACTGGTCATGCCCTCAGCAGAGTCCTGTCACCTCAGAGGCCAGATATGTCTTTCGTCCGTTCATTCACTCAAAAACTGATCACTTCATTTTTCAAAGTGCTGGAGACCAAGGATCTCGCTCAAGGTAGGTAAGTGCTGTACCGCTGAGGTACAACCTCAGCTCAGCTCTCATCACTTTATTCATGGACACATCAATAATCAATAGAGGGAAGCTAAGTGTGATGGCATGTGCCTGTAATCCCAATGTGTAACCAGGTCCAGCAAAATAAATATTTTAAAATTAAAGTGTTCTATGGAAAAAATTAATTATGAATTGGGCAAAGGCAATGCCGGGGTGGGGGCAGGGGCAGAATCAGCTTGAAGTTATGTATTTTTGTTTTGGGAATTTTGTTTGTTTGTACTGAGTACTGAACCCAGAACCTTCACAATTAAATACATATCCATCCCTTATTTCTTCAAGACAAGGTCTCCTAATTTGTAAATTGCTCAGGTTAGGCTAGAACTTGTGATACTCCTGCTTTAGTCTCTCAGTGTTGGAATTACAGGAATGTACCACCACGTCTTGCTTCCCCTGATAGTTTTAAATCATGGCTGCAAATTTTTTGGCATTCCACTCATTGCCAGATATCCCATGTCCGCAAACCTGAGCAGAACCATGCTAACTTTAAACACACAGAAAATAGTGAAACTGACATTATAAGACTTCCAAGGGCAGCTAGTAAAAGGCGGTACAGGTTTCTGTTTGTCTACTAGAACCATGAGGTTCTAGCTAAGAAGCATGATGTTTTGTAGAGAAGTGTGGCTATGTGGAGGTGGCCATGCTTTGGAGAAACTCAACTGAGAGAGAGAGGTTGTATTGGCATTACAGCTGATCCTGCTGAGCCCAGCCTCTAAGTTTTCTCAGCCCCAGTGCCAGACTGTAAATGAAGTTCTAAAGGATTCTACTCCATGATTGTCAGGTCACCTTTAAGGCTTCCCAGATTCCATAAAAAGACAAACTCAGGGGGCTGGGGATATAGCTCAGTGGCACACACACTTGCCTGGCAAGCACAAGTGTTGGGGACCACAAATTCACAGTAACTGGTTTTGTGTATTTCCCTGTGGGATGAAAGGAAGGATAGGGATTGCTGATACCACCGATCTGGGATTTCCCATTAACTCTTTCAAGTCATCTCAGGATTATACTCAAGGACAAGATACTTCTAAGCATAAGATCATCTATGTCTTCTTAAATTGCCACAGGATTATACTTAGGTCAAGATAATTCAAACATAAGATTACACCCTCTAGAGTCGGAGTCTTTTCCTAGGTCCGCCTATTACTGTATAGACCAAATAAATAGTGGCTGTTCTGGAAGTAGAGGAGGTCAGATCCAGAGACATTGATTTCCAAGCCATTGTTGGAATATGATACTTGTCTCTGTTTTTTATTTTTCTCAGGATATTCTTGAGACCAATCAATTTAGCCAGGTTTTCGATATTGCCAATCAAGACTCTTGACAGGGTTCCAATACAAAAGATCCTGAGTTCAATTCCTGGTACCAAAAAAAAAAAAAAAAAAAAAAAGACAAACTCTCCCCAGCTTTGTTCTGTAAAAATTCCTGACTCAGAATCCACGAATATAATAAAGTGATTGTTTTATGCCACTAAGTTTGGGATGACTTGTTACCCAGCAATACTAATTAGTATGGCCCCTTCTATTTCATTTAAATGTATAACTTGTTCAAAAAGGTTAAAAATAAACATTTATCATGTCTGATGAATAGAAACTGCCTCAGCTATCCTTGCACTTGTGATGCACCAACATCAGTCTCCTGAATACTAGGATTAAAAGCTTTCCATTCCTTTGTTTATCAATACAGATATCAAGACAATTCTGGTCATATATTTCAAGTTTTGTAAGTTTTTTTACATCAAATTGAAAATTTTTACAGTGGACATCCATATGTCCATAGTTAGACCCTACTATCAACATTTTACTATACTTGCCTTATCTCATATCTATCTACTTACCTAACTAATCTTCACATGTACAAATTCGCCAGTACAAACTTCAGAGTACTATGCTATCCCTTAAATATTTTAGCACATATATCTTTAGCTAGATATATATTTTTCTTTTGGGATAAAGTGTATATACAATGAAATTCACAAATTTATACAATTCAAAGTCGTCTGGCCTCAAACGATGTTCCTTCTCTGCGCAGCCGCCTCCTTAGAGACCTGGGGGATGATCTCGGTGGAGGGGACCAAGATTTCAGGTCTTCCATGTGGTCAGTCAGGAGAGATATTTGTGTGTCGACTTTCCTGGAGAGAAATCATGGAGCAGATAGAGTGGGTGCTCAGGAGTAGGATGTGGTGCTGTGGATGGGGCTCCAGGAAGGGAGGAGGAGGCACCCAACCCAAATGTCTGAGGATCACCTTTTCTGCAGCCGAAGCTCCGCCCTCTGTGCTCTAAGCATCTGCAGTACTGGGTCGTCCTGAAACTCGCTGCCATCAGAATCTGGGGTGGAAAACAGTCAACTTTAGGGGCTAGGTTCTTAGCGGGCTGGCCTCCACTAAGATCCCAAAGGGTGTAAGCAACCTGCTCACCTTCCGCAGCCTCTAGAAGTTCGGCCGCCTGGGAGAACAGGTCCTCCTCGGATGGGGCATGGTGAGCCTCGGGAGAGGGCAAGGCCGCAACCTCAAAAGATCCCGACTCCAAAGCCGACGACGAGGCTTTGGGGAGTGAGGACTCTCTCTCGGCTGGAGAAGGCAGAATTCTGCCGGGTGGGGACCCAACTTCTGCTGAGGGAATGACAGTGCTTTTTGGAAGCCTTGACTCCTCTAGGGAGGAGGTGGCCCTGGCACGGGGCGTACTAGCCTTAGACCTACTCCGAGATTCCGAGGGAGGGGGCGTGGCCTTGACTCCCGGGGGCCCACCCTCACTGCGAGGGGGCGTGTCCTCCAGGCCTTCTGGGAACAGCCGCGCTGCCACCACCTGGCCCAGGGCTCCCCTGAGCTGTGTGCCTGGCTCCTTGCTGGCCGCTGTCTCTAGACCCACAGGATCCCTACGCGAAGCTCTGGCCTTCCGAGGCTTGGGGCCCACCTTCTCTGGTTGAGCAGAGCTACTTGGCTCAGAGGTTGGTGGGCTGTGGTGAGTGGCTGGGGCTGTGGAATTGGTGGTGGCAGGAGCTGGGCTGGAGGAGGCCAAGGGAACTGGGTTGGAGGCCAGGGGAGCCGAGGTGGGGGTGCGGGGAGCCAGGCTAGAGGTAGGGGGGGCCGGAGGAGCAGAGGGAACCTCGGTGGAAGCCAGCGGTGGAGGAATAGTCCCGAGAGATACCCAGGGACTGGACTGTGGGGCCCAGAACAAGCGGTGGGTGCTGGGGGCCCAGAAGATATGAGGAGCGGTCCCTAGGGCAACAGGAGACCTCTCCACATAGAAGGCCTCTGGAGGACTAGGATGGGCCACACTGCCCCACTGTTGGACACAGGTAGGCTGGGTCTCCAGGGAACCAAGAGTCACTGCAGAAACAGAGGGCTGTAGATACAAAGAGATCTGAGGGGGAAGGGCTGGAGGACCCCGAGTCCCCTTCATCCTCCTTCTTAGTCCAGCTCCCCTCAGGATCCTCCCTCTCTCCTTACCCGAGTGGCAAGGGCAGGAGTCTGGGACAACACCCAGGTTCCACCACCCTCGACCTGCTTAGCCTGTTCAAGCTTCCGCCGCTGCCGCCACTGGTACAAAATGTCATCCTCTGGCGGAAGGGGTGCTGGGGAGGAGGCTGGGGCTGGAGTAGAAGTGGGGCCCTGAGCTGGCGCTGGGGCAGCTGTGGGGGAAGTAGAGGGGACAGTGATGAGCAACCCAGGGACAGCTCACACCCACACTCTACAGGCTGCTCAGTAATGCCCAACTCCTCTCTGGAAGGGGCTAGTCAGGAGAGAGGGCAGCTGGGGTTCTCAACCTGTCATCTTCCACTTCTTCATTCATCCAGCAATATTTATTGAGCTCTTACTATTTTCCAGGTCTAGTGTTCTGGACACTGGTGGTGCAGCAGTAAATGGGGCAAACTTTGGAATGTCCCCACTGTCTCACCCTGCTACGCCCTTCACCCTGGTCCAACCTTATCCCACCTGGATACAGCAGCCACTTCCCTGTACTCCAGACTCTCCTGACCTCCCAATCTGCTCCCTACGCACAGCCACAGGAAGGCTGTGGTCCTGGAGTGTTCGGGGCCCTCTTGGTTATGAAGCCTCCTACCTGTACCTCCCTCCTTGTAAAAGGCCTCTAGAGGCCTTTGAGCTTGTGGTTCCCCTCTGTCTAGATGGCTTTTTCCTCATCTACCTCAGGCTTCCCCCTCCTTCTCTCATCTACTTCAGACCTCTTCTTTTCTTTCTTTCTTTCAGTACTGTGAACTGAACCTAGGGTCTTCACAATGAGCCACATCCCCTGTCACTTTTTATTTTTTTATTATTTTTGGTACTGGGGATTGAACCTATGACCTCATGCTTGCCAGACAGGCACTTATGCCACTGAGCTAAATCCCCGGCCCTCTTTTTCATTTTGAGAGAACATCTTGCTAAATTTCTCAGGCTGGATTCAAACTTGTGATTCTCCTGCCTCAGCCTCCCAGAGTGCTGGGATTACAGGTATATGTCACCATGATTAGCTTGATTCTGGTTTTAAATGTAGTCATTTTCCTCCACTCTGCTCTTTAGGCTGTAGCCCAAGCCAAAACAGCAGCATCTCTCATGGGGGAATCTTTTAACATCCAAGAAAGATTATACTCCCTCAGTGCTCACATCTCTCTTGAAATTCCTTTGCATTAATAACCAGATAACCAAATACCTCACCATGCCTTCATGGTCCACTATAACTGGGTCCTTGCCAACCTCTCCCACCTTATGCCATGCTATTTCATCCCTGGTTCTTGCCTATGCTGATCCATTGTCTGTGTCCCCTCCCACTTCAGGTCCCATGTACATAACATGGTAGAAGGCTCTTGTCTATTCCTGTCTTCCTCATGGAGGTTTCCACTTAGTACCTCCTCCAGGAAGCCCTCCATGACATCCCAGCTCCACAATCCGCTCCCATAAATCTTCTGTTTCTGTGTTTCACGTGTTTGAAGGATAATGTAGCAATTCTCTGCCCCACACCCACCACACTATGCTTCTGAAGGTGGGACTATGGATGTGTAGTTTGCTGTAGAATCCTCTAATCCTGTTTACAGGGTCCCATTCATGGTAGCAGTCAATGTTTGTTAAATGAATCAATAAATACATTTAACTGAAAAACAACCTATGGAGTAAGTACTAGGTTTATCTTCATTTTACAAATGAGAAAACTGAGGCTCAGGAGAGAGATGAATAAAAGGTAAACCTTGAAAATCATGAAGAATCAGAGACCAGTCTGGGGAGGACTGCACATGCATGAACACTTCCTGTTAACTTGTGCTTGCCTGTCCCCACTGATGGACCTAGATAGCAGCTGTCTTGTACACCATGGTACCCTAACATCTAGGTACAGAGTAACAGTAACAACCATGACAAAAGTAACAGTAATCCAGGTCCTTCATCCCTTCTCTGAAATGTTGAGAGGTTAACTGTCTTTTTTTTTCTTTCTTTTCCTTCCCTCCCTCCTTCCTTTCTGTTTTTAAAGCAGTATGAATTTATGGTCTTAGAACTGAGTTATAGACCCAGCTCTTTTATCTTTTTTTTTGAGACAGAGTCTCACTAAGTTGCCCAGGTGAGACTCTCAACTTGTGATCCTCCTGCTTCAGCCTCCCAGAGTCCTAAGATTACAGGTATGTGCCGCCATGCCCAACAGTTTTTACCTTTTATCTAAGTTACACAGTTACACAGTTTATAGAGGTTAGAAATGACCCTGGTTAGATATGAGTTGGGCAGTACCCAACTCAAGCACATGAAACTGAGAATATGCAACTTTTTTGACTTATTTCAAAAACAAAAATTCCTGCTGGGCATGGTGGCACATGCTTTTAATCCCAGAATATTCAGAGGTTGAGGCGAGAAGACCACAAGTTTGAGCCCAGCCTAGGCAACTTACTAAGTGACATGCTGTCTCAAAAAATAAAGGAAAGCTGGGGATGTAGCTCAGTGTGAAGGACCTGGGTTCAACTCTCAGTACCATCACCACCACCACCAAAAAAACCCAAAACCAAACAAACAAAAAACCTATGGTTCAGTGTGCTATGAACATAGCAAAGAGTATGAATAGTCACCCTAAATGAGATCCATACAGATTGTAAATTAGCCTCATAGGTCAGATATTGGTGAAAAAGCAACATGGTGTGAAATTTGTAAAAGCCTCTGCAGTATGGAGCTGTTGTTCAGAATTTCACAGAGAATGGCATGCCTGTCATGCTCATGATAGCTGAGAACAGAGCCATGCTAAGTGCTTCTTGTTTATTCATGAAGTCATTTCATCCTCATAATGAATTCCTTTAACAGTGAATAGGAGAGGAATCCAATTAATATTCCTATTTCATAGCTGGGGAAATAAGACCCAGAGAGGAACAAAAATCACATAGCTAGTAAGTGGCAGAGATAGAATTTGAACCAGGTTACCTCCAATCCTTGCCTCTCAGCACTTACCAGCTACTCTGGACCCGGAGTCCTTGTTGGACTCAGGGGTGAAGGTCATGGAGAAGGGAGACAGGCCATCGGAGCTGACAGGGAAGGAGGAGCAGCTGGCATCGCTGGGACTGAGGGATGAGGAGGAGATGGAGGCCTTGCTACAAAGAAAAGGTGGAAGTGAGGCAATGGAGGTAGTGTGCTGGGCCACACCTGTACGATTGGGAGGGGTGACAGGGAGGGACAGGCACCTGCGTTTGAGCAGTGTGGCAGCTCTGCTCTGTAGGCTCAGTGTCTCCAGATCCAGCATGGATGAGTTCCATGTGTTAAGGCTCTGTGGGGTAAAGGGAGTCAGAGTTTAGCCTCTATCCAAAGGCTGCTGGGAAAGGAACTCTGGACAGAGGGCCTACAGCGCAGGTCTGTGGTGCGTGTTACCCTCATGATCTGTTTCTCCTTAAGGAAGAGTCTCTGTGGTCCTCTCTGGATCCATACCCTTCATATGCAAGTCACTGTGGTTCAAGGGTTGACCTCACCTGACCAGACCTGTCTACCAGAACATGCTATCTTCTGGTTCACAGTAACCAGTCCAAGGATGAACAAACAAGAGTGAGCCCCAGGGGTTTAGAGGGAGGTATGGCAAAAGCTCCCACTTCCCACTGGAGAGGGCAGTATGGAAGTATAAAGCCAGTGGGCGCCATGTTGGCTACTGTGAGGGGAAAGCAAGCCTGAGGTTGAACCCAACAAAGAGAAACAGAACTGAGAGAGTTGGGTTGTTCCCAACATTGCCAAAACACCTCGATCTGGCCATGTCTGAAGGCATCTACTTTTAGAGTTTCCAAATATATTTAACAAATCCTCTTTTCTTATGTAAACTCCCTAGAATTGGGGACTGGCTCTAATTCTATCCTAGGACTGGTACTGACAGTTCAGGCACATAGGGAAAGGGAGTTGATGAGGATGTCACCTGCTTTATTTTCTGAAGGGGAGCCACAGCCTGGGAGGTGCTGGCAACCTTGGCTGGAGCAAGAACTGCTGGACTGGGCCTTCCTTCTGGTTTACTGGGTCCTGCTCAGAAACCTGAGTTAAGTTACATGGGCCAGGAAGAGTAGCTGCAGGGAGCACTGATCAGGAAATGTTTTAAGCTGGGGGTGAGTGGGATGAAAGGAGGTACCGGCTGCAAGTCGACTGCTGGGGTCTGAGGACTCAGTCTGCAGCCACCAAAAATCAGCTGGGGTTGGGCCTGCATGCTGTCGTTCCTCTCGGCTGGTGGGCTGAGCTTGGCGGAACCTATTTATGTACCTGTGAGCATTAGAGGATGGAAGATAGAGTGAAGAAAGAAGGAAGAAGAGGAGAAGGAAGTAGAGAAGGAGAAGGAAAAGAAGAGGAAGAGAATGATGAAGAGGAAGAAAAAAAATAAAAATAGCCAATGTTTCTCAAACACCATGGAAAGCATGTTCAGCAGCCCAGATAAAAACAAATGCTTTCTAAGTGGTTACCAAAAGCTAGTAGTTGTCTTCAATATTTATTTTCCTTTCCTATATAGTAACACAATTTTTATTTTTAGTCTGTCTTGTTTGGTAGCAGTAGGGACTGAACCCAGGGCCTCATTTATTCCAGTCAAGCACTCTACCACTCAGCTACAGTGCTCTTAGTCTGGTAACTCAATTTTTAGCTGGGCACATAGCCACTATTCAGTGAGTTACATTTGCTGTGACTTGTGATTACATTACTAATAGGCAATGAAGAGATATAATTTTGGGAAGCTGATGTAGTTAGGAACTATTTTGGTCCATGAAGAAAAGAACAAAGGGCCAGAGATATAGTTCAGTGGCACAAGCACCCACTTGGCAAGCTCAAGATCCTGAGTTCAATCCCTAGTACCGGGAAAAAAAAAAAAAAAAGCAAGTAAGCAAGCAAAGGACAACATCCTAGGGTTTGGAAAACAAAGATTAAAGGAATCTGGATGCCTTAAATCTCAAGAAGGGCCTGCCATATCAGCCCTGATTGCTTCAGTCTAGATGTGAGAGAAAAATGTTATCACATTTAAACCACAATTAACTTAGGACTCTGTTACAGTCGCTGAACATGTACACTATAAATCCAACTACTATGTGGCAAGCACTGTTACAGATCATCACATACAGTAATTTATTGAAAGCTTAAACTATTCTATGGGGACAAGGAATACTGAAGCAGGAGGAGCACAAGTTTGAGCCTAGCCTGGGCAATTTAGCAACTTAGACTCTGTCTCAAAATTTTAAAATATATAAAAGACGGGAGCTGGGGATTTAGCTCAGCGGCATAAGCACCTGCCTTGCAAGCAGGCAGTCGTGAGTTCAATCCCCAGTACCGATAAAAAGGAAAAAGACCAAAAAAAAAAAAAAATATATATATATATATATATATATATATATATATATATATATATATGACTGGAGATGTAGTTCAGTGATAGAATAACCCTGGATTCAATCTTCCAGTACTTCCAGGCATGGGGAGGTACACTTGTAATTCTAGGATTTGGGAGGCTGAGGCAAGACGATTGCCATTAAGTTCAAGGCCACTCTGGACTACATACACAGTGAGTCCAAGGCCAGTCTGCACTAAGTAGCTAGACCTTTTCTCAAAAACAAACAACAAAAACAAAGCAAAACAAAAATCACTTCTCCTAGTATCATAAAACCAAAACAATCAGAAAAAAGCCATAAGGGACATGTACTGTTAATTGCCCAATTTAAAGAAGAAATTGAAAGCAAGATCAGACATATTTGAACCTACGTATTCCAGCTTCTTCTTAACACACGTGGAGTATTTGATCCTAACAAAGCACTGCATAAGCAGCTCTCCGTGATGATTATTATTGAGTCCCTGTCACTAAATTCTTTCCCCTCAAGGCTTCTGGTACTTACTTTGCCACCACAGACTCCCCACTGTCAATCAGGGTGGGTGATGAAGTCTCCATCTGTCCCTCAGTAGTGCTGGGTGGGGATGAGGTCTCTGAACTGGAAGGCCAGGACTCCTCAGACAGCTCAGGGGACCTGGCTGAGGTACTGGGAGCTTGTTGGAGCCTGGACCTCTGGGAGCTGGATAGGCTCAGGCCCTATAATAGGGAAGCATAAAGAAGAAAAGTGAGGTCTGAGAGGTCATCCCTGCAGGGAAGGCAGGAGGATCGTTGAGAGTTCGAGACCACCTTGGTTTACAGAGTGAGCTCAAAGCCAGCCTGAACTACACAGCAATACTGTCTCAAAAAGACCGGGGAGGGGACCCGAGGTGGGGGTGGGGAGAAAGCCTTAGACCGGACAGGAAAAAATATATCACACAGTGTTACCTAGAGGGATTGGGGCTATGATGAGGGATCCAGGTGGTAGACAGCTGGACAAAGGAAGGCCATGGGAGAGAGAGACCGTTTCTTTATTTTTTATCGCATGCCTTCCTTAGTGATCACTCCCTTGCCATAAGGCTGCTCTCTCTCTATGCAGGGTCCTCACCTTGGGACGCCAGGTCTGGCTGCAAGATAGCTAATAGTGGCTTCTATCCAGAGAAGCCTCTCCAAGGGAACAGTCTTGGATGGGAAAAACTGACAGGCTTCAGGAAAAGAGCGGGGTTGGAAGGCAGAATACAATAAATATTCAGTGTGTAATGATCAAATCAAAGTAACTGCATTTACATCTCTTTACACATTTCCAGATGATTCTGGAGTTCGGGTAGAGAACCACAACTACACTGTATACTATATATTATCCATAAATCCTGGGGGTTGGGGGTTAGGGAAAAGTATAGACATTACACTCCATGATTCTGGGCTCCTCCTAAGTAAAAAAAAAAAAAAATCAAAGACAACACCGATGGCTGTCTGCGAAGAATTTCAAAATTAAGAAACTAAAACAAAACAAAACAAAAAAAAAAACCCCTCAATTTCCAGTTGAACACCCTTAGGAGAAATAATCCCTTAGGGCTACCCAAAAAGACTATATAAAAAACATTTTTGGGATCCTCGAGATCGGGAAGTACAAGGCGCCAGCGGCCAAAGGCTGTTAAGCATCTTGGGAATTGTAGTTCCAATTTGCTAAACCCGAGACTCCGGACCCAAAAGAAACTTGTGTTGCTCTCGCCTTTGATCCTCCCCAGGCCTCCTGTAATTTATGGAAAAGGGATCGGCCTCACCTTCGGTCCATCCGGCCGCCACATCAGCGCTCGCGCCTACTCTATTACTGGACAGTCCTGGCGCGCATTTTTGTCTCTTAGCAATGCTCTATGAGCCCCGCCTCTCTAAAGAGTGATTGTTCAGGAAGAGGGAGGCTGTCCAGGCGACCAGTGATAGGGAGGAAAATAAAAGTTACTGTAAGGTGGCCAACGGAAGGCGTCTTATGATTGGCTTTAAGGCCCACCTGCCGGAGAGCGCGCGTTTGATTGGAGAATCTGTAGTGTGCAGCAGTAATTGGCAAGATCATGAACCAATGGAAAGGATTTGAAGCTGTGCCCTCTATTGGACACAATATAAAGTCGGCAAGCTTTCCTACAGTGTGGCATTCTCGCCGTTTCCCTTGTGGCTTCTATCTCTTTTTGCTGGCTCTAGTTAAATACACTGTTTTAGTTGTCGCAGGAGCAATCGGGAGTCGGTCTTCTGCCTCCATCAATTGGGCCAGTTAGCCAGTCTTGATGGTTAACTAACCACTTTGCTCTTATTGCAGAAGCTAGTCAGAATACAGGCAGCTGGTCGCACCGCTTGCCAGGCCTGGGCTTCTGTCCCAGGTAGTAGGATCAAAATGATCTATTTCGGGATCCGGCGCGCCGCCCTTGGGGCCCCAGCATGTAGCGTTCCTGCTCACGCCCCTTGGATAGAAGCGTCCGAGGCTGAGTCAGAGGCACAGAATTAGGCCCGATTGAAGATGGGGGTAGGATCTGTTCTGTGTTCTTCTGTCAGCCTGGCCTGGCCTCTGCATTCTCCAGGAATCTGCTGCTAACGCTTACTTCCATCTGCGTCATCCTCAGAACAGCCAGTGAGCTGGAAATGTATTAAAGAGTACCGGAGATTCTGGTGGGCCCTAGGTCCCAATTTCCATTTTGTGCCCCCTATACTCGCAGGGCTCTGCCTCCTTAGCCTTAGTTTCCCCTTCAGGAAATTGAAGAACCTTGATAACATTTCCCTGGCGTCTTTTTCCAGAGAGGCAACAGGCGCGTAATAAATGGCCAAGTCATTATTGGGGTTTCTAAATAAGGCTGTACTAACAGCAGAGTCTGGCTGCCGTCCCAATGTCCCCGGAAAGCTCGCTGAAAGGCTGGCACAGGGCGCACTATAAATCGGTAGGTGCACACGCAGGGACACTGCGGTCCCAGGACGACGGTGAAAGAGCAGGATGGAGATCCGGGTACCTGTGCAGCCGACTTGGCTGCGCCGCGCTTCAGCCCCGTTGCCCGGGCTGTCCGCGCCGGGTCGCCTCTTTGACCAGCGCTTCGGCGAGGGACTGCTGGAGGCCGAACTGGCTACGCTCTGCCCTGCTGCGCTCGCCCCCTACTACCTGCGCGCCCCCAGCGTGGCGCTGCCCACCGCCCAGGTGCCGGCCTCGGGGAGGGACAATTCGGCCACTTGAGAGCTACAGAAATTAGTGGAGAGAGTGCGGCCCCTCAGAGGGACTTCTCGAGTGTGAAACGAGAGGCCGGGAGGTCGCTCTAAAGGGTGGGAAAGGGTTAGGATCCTCAGGGAATTGTTAATTTTTCTGAAGGAAGTTGGTCACCCAGGAGATCTGGGGAAATGGACAAGCAGTCACTCCTGAGACACTGAAACGCAATTAACAGTAGGGAATGGAGTCTGGAGACTATGGTGACCTTATGTTCCCTGATAAGTAAAGGGGAGAAAGTGCTGTGATTTAATGAAGGGCGTGCTGGCCTCAATACAGGTGGGTCAGAAGACCAGTAAATGTTGAAAGCGCCTTAGGACTCGAGTAGGAGGGTAAAAGAGAATTCTGGAGACTGGGACAAGAGACAGCTTAGCGATTTCTGGCCGGATTAGGGAACAAGGGTCCCTGGGGCGGGTGAAGAGTGACTCCGGAGAGTGACAATGCGAGTGTGGGCAGGCTTGCCACCCTGCGGAGGGGAAGGATTCTGACCTTGCGGGGAAGGAAGCTCATCACTGTACAAGAAGGAATTCAGTGACTGCAGCAGGCGGGAGGATCCCAGTTATGGGTGAAGAGGCTTTTGGTGACTCGGTGAGGGGCGTAGGCCAGAGGAAGCCCCAGTGCCGGTACCAAGGGAGGTGGAGCCCAGAGGATTGACAGTCCCGCCCCACGCCCGCTGTGCGCAGGTGTCGACCGACCCAGGCCACTTCTCGGTGCTGCTGGACGTGAAGCACTTCTCGCCGGAGGAAATAGCCGTCAAGGTGGTTGGCGAGCACGTGGAGGTGCACGCGCGCCACGAGGAGCGTCCGGTGAGCTGCGGGTGGGATGGGGCGGGGTGCCGCGAGCAGGGACTGCCGTCTCAACCCTCTCCCCTGCAGGACGAGCACGGATTCATCGCTCGCGAATTTCACCGCCGCTACCGTTTGCCGCCCGGCGTGGACCCTGCCGCTGTGACCTCAGCGCTGTCCCCCGAGGGCATCCTGTCCATCCAAGCCACGCCGGTGTCAGCCCAGACCCCACTGCCATCACCAGCTGCTGCTAAGTAGGGGTCTAAGCGAATCTGAATTTCGAATCTGAATTTCGGGAGCTGCTTTTAGGTTCTCACCTTGAAAGCTGATCTGACTCCACCCAACCAGATGTCCTCATCACGCCAAGACAGTCTCTCCCATCTAGAGATCCCACTTGACCCCTGCACTCTAGACCTAGCCTTTCATTACCTAGACCCTCTACTGACATCACACCCTGACGTAGTCCTTGTCCCACATCTTGCTACAAGCACTACACTCACCTCAGCCTAATCTATTGTCACTTATATCCTCACAGAATTTCCTTTTGCACTTCTTTGACTCTTATGAAACATGGCCACACTCCACATCCCTCCCTTCCCAGCTCTCACAGCAGATTATGATGTAGACAGCCCTGCCCCCATGCCAGGGGAATCAGGCATAAAGCCCACCACCACTCCTAAATGCCCCACACTGTGGTCTTCACACTGTTCAAGCCTCCTGGTGCTCAAGATTCTTGATCCTCTTTCTGTAACCAGACACTCCACTGTCCTCACCCCCTTTCCTGATTTGAAGCCCCAACCAGCCATCCAGACTCTTGAACCTTTCCAACTTACCATTTGCCCAGATGTGCTAGGTCCCTTCTCCAATTAACCACAGCTCTACAGTCCCTTTGTCCCAACCAGATCTTCTAGGGAACCCACCCTCCACATTTCTTATCCTCCATAACCCAACCAAGGAACCACTCATTCCCTCATTGAATTCCCTGCTATCCCATCCTCCCATTTGTTCCTAGGCCCACTGTTCAATAAATGTGCAAAAGTTGTGCCCACTGCTTTATGTCTGGGCCAGGAAGGATGGGCTGAAGCACAAGCCAGTGTGGGGTTGGATGATGTTTATTGGGATGGAGGGGCTGGGAACATCACTGTCGATCGTACATTTCTCGGAGAATCTTCATGCTCTCTGAGTACCGAAGTTGGTTCCGATGAGATGCCTCCTTCCACCTGGGGAGGTAGAGGCAAGGTTCAGCAATAGCAACAGAGGTCATAAGGGCCAGCAGGCTAAGGGATACTTACCTCTGGCGAATGCGTTTCCAGCGCTGCATGTTGCGATAGATGAGTATGGAGGGTGAAGGTTCAGGCTCTGATGGCTGTGGAGAGAGAGGCTAGGCTGGGTGACTATGTTGATGCCTCCCAAAAATGTGTCCCATAGCCTCAGGCCAGCTTTGTATACCCACCTCATCATCAGGGGTGCCCTGGGTTTCAGGTTGCAGTGGGGATGGAATGCGTGATCTGCAGGCATCTCCAGGTGGCCCAGGGGCTGTAGGTGGAGGCAGCTTGTACACATCTCGACTCTTATTGTTGGTGACCTCAGAACCCTGGAGATAACAAAGTCCCAAACTATGCCAAAGAGTTATAGCAGAGGGCTGGGAATATACATTTCATCCCTCTTGCCTTTCCCAGTGACAAGACATGAGAAGTTTGCTAAGAAAGCTACACTTCCAAAAGTTGTACCCAAAGCTTAGGGTCTCAGATTTGTGTTCTCCAGAAACCCTTGTCTTGTGACAGCCCAAAAACCCTTGTCCACTCTCAACAGTCCAGGGAATCCCAACTACACCTGCCAGTCTACCCGCAATGGTAGGTCTTGTCTACTATGTACTGCTTATCTGCTTGTCTGTTAGTGGATTCTGTCTAGGGCTTCATGTCTTGTTGCCCAGGAACTTTCTTCTACAACAGCCATGTCTGCTCTGATCTTGACAGTTCACAGGATCACATATCTCTGCTGGATCATATATCTTTCCCCTGTCTACTTTCTCAGGCCTGATGATTTACTCATCCATCCCTACCCAGCCCGGAGGATCCCCACCTGTTCACCCATGCCACCTAGTAACCATATCTGTCTGCACTAAGAATCTCTGTGCAGCCTTTTATCTCCTGGGGACCTTTAATCTTGGTAATGTCTATCAGCTTAGGGGAACCCTGTTTCCATTTTCTCTAGGCCAGGTGGCCACAGGGACTTTCGTCCACACCCCACCCCATACCCACATATACATATGTCTTACTTGATCCAGCATTCACTTGGGAGACACAGGGAGAGACACTGTTCATCTTCCATTAGTTTGGAGGGAAGGGCCCTTGAGCCTGCCCCACCCATCAACCTCCCTTGCTGCTGCCCATCAGCCATCCCACCTCCTCGTCCTCAGGCAGTGGGGGTAGTGGTGAGCTGGGTGAGCGTTCGTGCTCGCGCACTGAGGGGCTGTTGCGCATCCAAGCTCGGCAGATTGGATACAGTGGTGTGTTCTCGCTGAATTGGGCCAAGTCCACGCTCCGATCAAACAGTTTGATCACATATGTGTCTAGGGTGGGGAAGGGAGGTAAGTGAGTATCCTCAACTGGATCCTTGGCACTGTGTTCCCCCTCTAGAACAACTGCTTACTCACTGGATCGCTGAGGCCCTCCCTCAGCCAGCCCATCATCCATCTCCCTCCTCTTCTTCCTCCGCTGGTGGGGGAAGCGGGCAGATGGCCTGTGTGGGGAGGGAGAGTGTCAGGACCAGGGCTGGGGCTAAGAATCTCTCCTTAGCTGTTTGGGACCCTTGTCACCTTACCTTTTGCCCGTGGCTGCAATGGAGCAATCCCTATGGGAAAAAGACTGAGTGTTAGCAGACTGTTCCTCAAAAAAAAACCTCAAAGGGCATGTTGGGGCTACTGAGATCCCCTGGACCTTATGTACCACCCATACCCTTGGGGCTTTAGGTGCCAAACATGAGGGGACCCGGTTGCTTTTGCCAAGGTCTTTGTACATGTGCAGTGGTTAAGTCTGTCATGGAGGAAGCACAAGGCAGAATGGTTAACGCATGGATGAGGGAAGAAGTTACCCACCACAAACCCTTAGATTCAGATCTCTCAAAACACCTTACTTGTTGTGGGTATCGGAAGGGGTTTTCCCCGCTTCTTCATCCAGACGCTCCCTGGCAGCAGAAGAGGACAGCGGGCTTAAGGTTCCAAGGATCCAGAATCAAGTGGCTTCCCCATAAGACACCTTTCTCCCCAAGTCAGCCTTTGAAGTCCCACCTGCCAAAGCTACCAGCCCTATGACCCCAGGATGGACCAGGTCCCAACCTGTCCATGTGACTCTTCTCCAAAAGACACTGCAGAACAGCATCCAGTTGGTTCCGTGCTTTAGCCATCTCCAACTCTGGAGGAAGAAGGTACCAAGCAAGAGTCAGCTCTGTAGGCATATCCTTTGTCAGGGCCAATGACCCAGGCCTGATGAAAGGCAGCAGTGGGGAGACCAGGAGAAACAAGGCTTCCCTATATTACCCAGAAGATAGGTTGAAGACAGGAGTAGAGGCAACTGAGACTGCAGCAAAGAACCATGGGCAGGACCCAAGGATATGGATCATACACACATCTCTGTCCTTGGCTTTAGCCTGTCTCCTGAACCCCAACCTGAGGATCCCATGGCCTGAACACCTCTCCCAAGACCATCTATCTTTTAGAGTTTTCAATGATAACAAACAGCTGGCTGGGCATCTGTGCTATAGGTTCCGCCACCGCTGTCCTAGACTCTTTCCACTGGGCTGCACAATGACCTCAGTGTCTAAATCTACCCTTCATCTTGGATCCCTAAGGATGACCACATTGTTCCCCCATTCCTTCACTGGTCTCACTATGGATACCACTCTCCCTCCCCATTATTTGTAATCAGGCTCCTTTTGCTGTTCCTTGAATACATCAGACAATGCTTCCATTTCAGGGCATCTTCAAAGCTATTTCCTTTGTTCAACTGGCTGTTCCTTCATATACTTTCCTGGTTTTCCCACACCTTGCCCTATTGCAGATCTTGTTATCTTCTCCCATCTCCCAACTTGGGAGTTTTTTTTTCACCCTCCTTAAACTGAAGAGGCAGAATCTCACTATGTTGCCCAGGGAGGTCCTGAACTCCTGAGCTCAAGCGATGCTCCTGTCTCAGACACCCAAGTAGCTGAACTAGAGGCTCATGTTATTGCACCCAGCTCCAAGTAGCTGAACTAGAGGCTCATGTTATTGCACCCAGCTTCTGTCTTGTTCTAAACCCATCTAACATCCCATTTATCCCATCTAATATCCTACATGCCTTCCCTCCACGGCCTTTACCGTGCTGGTCTTGGGTTTCCATCAACTCTGCCCTAACGCTGAACTTTAGTTTCCTCATGTACTGCACTTAGGTTTATTGGAAAACAGTTATTGTGGAGATTAAAGGAGTGCCTGTACCTCAGGGTCATAGCACAACCCCCAATTCATGACTAATTCCGGAAAAGGGAAACTGAAGTGGAGCCAGCAATAATCCCCTTCCCAGACTCAGCAGCGTAGGATGCCCACATTTTACCGCTGCCTGAACCACCACACTGCTGAACCACCACCTTTCAATCTCAAAGCTACCTAGACTAGCACAATCTGGGAGTGTATGAAGGTGGCAGCAAAAGCTAGCTGTCTCATGCAGCATTTGTCAGATGGGTTGCAGGGAAAAGCCAGATAGTCGCCTTTTCAGGACAATCGGGTCTCTCAGAATTCCCAAATTCTGATCGGCGGGTGTCTTCCTTACAAGGCCCGGGCCTAGAGGTCCTCACCTGATTTTTCCACTTTCACCTTCACCGGAAACATGGTTTGGTCTGGAGTCTGGCTATCTAGCTCGAAAAAGTCCCGAGGAGGCTAGGGTCCGGAGGCGGGCGGGAAAGGTCAAAGGTAAGCTCCGAGTACGGATAGCCCTCCGGCCCGAGCGCTGTCCAGTAGCTACGGCAGCACTGCCACTTTCCTTCTCCCCACCTTGTGGGTGGCTGGGCCCTTTCAGCAGCCAATACTTTCCATTAGTCAATGAATTCTTCAATCTTCTTCTCTGACCAATTGACAGCTGCCGCTGGAGGCTCCCAACCTTAAATCCCACCTTCCTAAGGGCCTGTTTCCGGAAATAAACTAACGACAATGCAGGGCGCTTCCAGGGAGGTGTACTCAGAATAACGCCGCCAGCGCCGCGCGGGGCACACTGGGAACTAAGACTCCTGCATCGCGAGGCTTCATGGGACTTGTAGTGTTAGGCTTGACTAAGGTCCAACTTACCTACTTAACAGGATTTAACTAACAGTGGAACTCCTTCTAGTCCCTAAGAGGAAGACTAGAATTTAGTTGGGTCCCTTTTTTCAGACTACTAGCTATATCTCAGCTGTTAATGTCTTTTCAGATACAACCTCATTATTTATTATGTACCAGGCATTTATCTAGGCAATGGGGACAAACCAGATAAAACCCTTTGCATCAGTGTAGCTTACCTTTAACATTGTAAGTGAAATGTGACAGGAGGAAGAATATAGCTTGAAATGGTCACAGGAGCACCAAGTTTGCGCTTGAAAAGCAATTTTTGGGGGAGGGGGACTGAAATTTTAAATAGAAAAGACAAGGGAAGCAATCGGAGGCAGAGACAGGAGAACTGCGTGAGTTTGAGGCTAGCCTGGGCCTCACACCAATATCCTGTCTCAAAAAACAATGCAGCAACAAAAAAAGGAAGGCTTGTCTGAGAAAGTTTTTGAATATATCTATTAAGATAGACCAGGACCAGGAATATAGTTCAGTAGCACGGTGCCTGTCTGGTAGGTGCAAGGTCCTGAGTTCAATTCCTGGTACAAAAACTAAACCAAAACAAAACAAACATCCCCCCCCCCACACACAACCAGACATCACCTCCTTCAGAGAAAGAGAAAACTTCCATTTATCACATACGTCTTGTCCCAGATAAAGCTTAGAAGGCAGCATTGTGATCAACATTCGGTTAGGAATACTAGAGACCAAAGGAAGGTAAAAGCACAGAAAAATTTTGTTTGTGGTACTGGGAATCAAACACAGGACCTCATACATGCTAGGCAAATGCCCTACCAATGAGTTGCATCCCCAGCCCTTACAGTCATGTTTCTGAATTAACAACAATAGCAGCCCCAGAAGTGGAAGCTTTATTCCTTTCTTAGTTCACTGATAAAATAAGGGTTCTTGAGCAGAAACTCCTATTTCTGAGAGTCATATTTGGTGCGCAGTGAGGAAAAAAATGCATATAATGTGTGAAGCGTTACTCATGGCACAAAGTAAGCACTCAATGCTTTAAAAACTTTTTTTTTTCTGTACTAGGATTGAGCCCAGGAACTTCCTACTGAGATGCATCCCCAGCCCTTTATTTTAATTTTAATTAATTAATTAATTTTTTAATTTTTTAAGCCAGTCAAATTTAGCAGTGGGGTATTTTAATTTTAATTTTTGAGATAGGGTATTCCAAGTCCCTAAATTGCCCAGATTGGGCTTGAACTTTTGATCTTCCTGCCTCAGTCACTCAGATGCTGGGATTATAGGGCTATATCACCACCACTCCAGTTAATTAATATCTTATTCAATCTCCAAAAGACCCCAGGAAATCAATATCAAATGTCAAGGTCCTTTATTGGGGAATGTCATCAAACAATAGGAGCCTGGCACAAGTCTCACAAGTCTTTGAGGCTTGAGAGTAAGCTCAGAGCAGAGCTGGGAGAAACAGCAAGTCACCATCCTGTGCTGACGTTGTCAGGGGGTCCCCAAGGGAATGGTAAAAGACAGGTAGTCTCCAAGGGCACCCCAGCGAGGCCGGTAGATCTGGAAGATGGTAATCCAGGTGGTGAGCACAATTACCCAGAAGAGGAAGCCCACAGCTGAGCGCCAGACATCTACAAGAGAGAACAGAGTGGGGAGAGTTGGCTTCCAGCTCCTTTCTTGACTCCCTTAGACCTGCCCTCTCTTCTGTCTCACAGAGTCACAGAACTCTGGAGCCTCCAACACCCCCTCCCCACCACCCACTGGCCTTCCTCATTGCTCCCTAGACTCACAGCCTTTGATTTGGCTCTGCTCTGTGTAGGCTGGGACAAGAAAGGCCTCTCGGAAGAACCAAAAGATGTTGACCAACCACAGAAAAGGCAGGAAAGCAAAACCACCTACGGAGAAAAACCCACACTGGGTAACAGAATAACGAGGATCTTCCCCAACACCCACATAGGATACTTATTGTGAAGGTCCTCTCCCATACCGAAGTTCAACTGTAAACTTCAGTGGTCAGGGGCTCAAGGATCCTGGTTCTTCCCTGGGGTTCAGGAATCTGATTCCTCAACCCCATCTTTCTCAGGACCCAGGAGTCCAGTCCTCCAACTCTCCCCTCCCGGGTCACAGAAATTGCGGCTTCAGCTTCCTTCTTCCTCAGAAGGCCCTCCCTTCTCTCAGACCCAGGAGTCAGCATCTTCACCTTCTTTACCCCTTAGATCCACGAATCCACGTCTCTAGGCACTCTTCCCTGTCGGTCCTTTTTCTTCTCTTTGAGCCCTAGATCATCGGTTCTTACCCAGATAGTACTTCCGGCACAGGTTCAACTTCTCCTCATTGGAGACCCGCTCCAAATTCATAGCTGTACTAAAGTCTGGTCGTCTCACGATCCTGCGGAGCAAGATTCAACTGACAGACCCGAGGATCACGAATAACCACGCCCCTATTACGACAAAGCGATAAATTTAGGGGTGGGCTTGCTGAAAAGGGGCACCCTCCGTTTCCACCAGCAAGCTCGTCAGGTTAAGAACCTCTATATTTATTGGGGTGCGCTAAACGATTCCCAACTCACCAGCGGTTCAAACAACACCCGTACTATTTTCAGACACGGAGATTTGTTCGACAAGTCGCAGATTTTTCTGGACCTTACAGTCTTTTTTGGCGAGGTAAGGCTATACGCATGCGCTGCGAACAAACGCCTGTGATAGAGTAGGGCAGCGTTTGAGCCTCCAAAACGCTTGCGTAATAGGGAGTTTCTGAACGCGAGACCAGCGTTCCGGCCCAGTAGTGAACTACAGTTCCCGACGCTCCTATGCAACGGAAGTGACGTAATGAGCAGGCGTATTGGCCGGATTTGGGTAACTGGCTGAATATTTAGCTTCAATATATTCGGCAGTAAGGACAAATGAGAACGGGTGCAGAGTGTGACATCTCGGGAGCGGGGCAAAGGAACTGAGGTCTTTGGTGGCTGGGCGGCTTGGGGTAGTGTTTCTAGGGTGCTCGACTTCCCTGGCTCTCATTTCACCATTATTTTGCGCCCTTTCAGAGTTAGCTCCTTTTTTTACTTTAAAATCGGAGTGGGCTGCCGGCAATGGAACCAGTGCTCCCGGCTTCGCAACAAACCGACATTGAGCCAGATAAGATCTGGTACTAAACTCCGGGGTTAAAGTCTCTGAGGTCCTCGTTTTCTGTTGTCAGTCATCACAAAGACTTGCCTTTTCCAGGCTCCTAAGGCTTACCCCTAGAAACCCACTGCTTTCTGGTTAGACCTCTCTGCAGATTCTTTCTCCAAGTTTCAGGCCCTTCTTCCGAGGATTTGGCCATGGCCCAATACATAGAAATTTGGCCGCTGTGCTGTCTCTTCAGCAGATCCGCTCACAGTTATTTCCTCCTTTTCATTTTATTTTATTTTACTTTTGAGACACTATCTCAGGCTGGCCTCGAACTCATGATGATAATCCTGCCCCAGCCTCCCCCAGTTGGAATTATATGAGTGCAGAAGCACTTATGATACTAAAATTCCTTCTCAGGTGCAAAGCCCCACCCCAAACCTTCATACTGTACTCTCTGCATGCAGCCCTACTCTCTGAGCTCTGGTTCTGCCCCTTTAAAATATGTTCAGACTATACTCTGCTCAACATGTACCGGGATCCACAGAACATGGCCAAACCCCATAGACAGATCACACCGCAGGGCCCAGGCAGAGGAGGGGCAGGATGGACAGCCCCCAGCAGGGGGCTCCTCTGATTCCACCCTGTCCGGTCCTGCGGGTCATGTGAGCGACATAGAGGTGCAGGAACACTATGATAATTTGAGGTGAGGGTCAGCAGGGTAGATTGGGTTTCTTGTGCTCCAGGAGCTTAGCTGAGTTCCTCCTGGTCTTCCCTAGGAGGTGTTCATGGAACTGCAGGAGAATTCTGGGGAGAATGAAGAGATGAATGTGTGTGACAACTTGGGGGACCACCCCTTAGGAATGTTTTATATCAAGGTACTTGTTGTCCCTTCCTTAGGGCTTAGAAATAGAGTCTGTCACTGCTGGATAGTCAACCCTGAAATCTCGCAGCTTGAGGTCTGCCACTAAGTCCAGTCCAGTCTCAAAGCTGCTGACTAATCCTCTGAAGATCTCCCATTTTCTTAGTGCACCGCGACCCACTGTCCTCTGTTCCAGCAGGAGGAGGATGCAGTGAGGGTACTGAATTCAGTAACCACTGTAACTGAGCATGATGATCTGCCTCCTGTTGCTGATTTTCTGTCATCAGTATAACATGGGTACTGTGATGCAAGGGCAAGACAGACACTTGGGAGTCCCAGACACTTGAGTGTGTGGGGGAGGCTGTCAGTGACAGTGGCCTCCTTCATCTGTCCTCTACTAAAGGGATGTACTTGAGCTAGCTTCTGCAACTTCATGCACCTTTGACCCATATCCTGGAACCTCCGGCAGCAGCTTTTTGGTGGGAACTCAGGTGCAGGTACTGCTGTCACCAGCTAGCGTGGGTCCTTCATTTAATAATGAAAATTAAAACAACTGCTGGTCATAGCAGCACACTCCTGTAATTCCAGCACTCTGGGAGGTCGAATCAGGAGAACTGCAAGTTCAAGCCCAACCTGGGTTATTTATCAATTTAGCAAGAACCTGCCCACCCCAAAAGAGCTGGAGATGTAGCTCAAGGAAAGTATCCTGAGCTTATTTACCAATATGAAAAAAAATCAAACTGGTCCCTTGACAAAGAAAAATAAAAAATAGAGAAAGAAAAATAAAAAATAAAGGTCAGTTTTATGCTTAGTTTGGTGGGCTGAGATCTGATCAGTCATTTTCTCAGTCCTTGTTTCATGGCTCTGGAGGAACCCACCCACTTGAAAAGTAGTTCAGTCCCATGAGATGAATCCTTATGAGTTGGGGAGCAATTTATTTCTGTGAAGCTCTGATGGAATCTGATGGAATCTAAGGTGACCCTAGGTTTAGGGTAATGGCGATTTCTGGGCACAGGAATCTTCTCTGGGCCCCCATAAATATCCTGGTGTCCTCAGTCTTGAAGGGTGATGACATAGGCTTGGGTTAGTAAAGTTTTGGGTTAATAAACCCTGTTTTGCTAACTTTTAGATAGACTTTTTCTTTCTTTCTTTCTTTTTTGTCTTTTTTTTTGGAGACAGGGTCTCACTATACAGTTCAGGCTGGCCTTGAGCTCACTTGTAGCCCAGGCTGGTCTTGAACTCGAAACAATCCTCTTGCCTCAGCCTCCCGAGTGCTGGGATTACAGGCGTGAGCCACCATGCCCAGCTTAGATAGATTTTTCTTTCTTTCTTTTCTTTTTTTTTTTTTTTTTTTTTTTGGTCTTTTTCCTTTTTATTGGTACCGGAGATCGAACTCATGACTGCCTGCTTGCAAGGCAGGTGCTTATGCCGCTGAGCTAAATCCCCAGCCCCGACTTCTTTTCTTTTTTTTTTTTTTTTTGTCTTTTTCCTTTTTATTGGTACCGGGGATCGAACTCATGACTGCCTGCTTGCAAGGCAGGCGTTTATGCCGCTGAGCTAAATCCCCAGCCCCCGACTTTTCTTAAATGACTAAAATGCCTGTGTGCAGAGCTGAGGATTTGATTCAGAGTTTTACAAAATGAAGGTCAAGCTTTGTTATACTTTTAGTTATTTATTGGACATCTGTAGGCTTACATGGAGAGTCATGGTTTTGGGGTAGGAAAGAAGGAAGAAGAAGATGAACAACAACAAAAAAACTCCTTTCAAGTCTGACTACCTCAGAAGAAAACACAAATCATGCTTCTGATGAGTAACAGGTTAAGGATCTGGGAGTTCGTCCTGTGTCAGACCCTCAGGACCACCCTGTCAAGATTGTTGTTTGCAGAGTCCTTTGTACCTTTGAGCCTGATTATTAACCCCAGTCACACTGTCCCAAGACTCTTAAGCCCTAAGAATAGTTCTGAGTCCCATCTGGAAAGCAGCACCTAAATTTCAACACCGAAACTAGCCTGAACTAAATCCAGGACCAGTCTCAATCTCCAGCACTGAGACTGCCTCCTGGAACCCTAGTCACATCAATGTTCACCACATCCAGAGCAGAGAGGCAGGCCTAGGGGATCTCTGTACCACTCCCAGTGGCTCAAACCCAGCTGTCTACACTTCTCTGCCTAGGTTACCTTTCAGGGCTACTATCTCCAAGAAAGAAAACAATGGTGTCCCCCAGACCACCAGCACGATGGTTCTCAATCTCTAACCTTTTTGCCCTTCACTCCTAACAGACACAGATATTCCTGGCCAGTATCGTTCCTCAAAGCCCCCGCTATTCTCCAGCCCCAGGTTCCAAGACTCTACATGTACCTTTTCTGTGGCTTTTTGCTATGATAATAAAATTTCCTATTAAACCTCAAGCTTAGCTGTGGGTGTCAGTTTCCTTTCAGCTGACAAAAAGGGGAAACTGCACCGGCCTCTAACCACAAGATCAGTGGAGGAACTCCGAACCAGAGCAGTGCTTTGGGGGCCCAGGTCTGTATCGGTAGGGTGGTGATACCTTTGGGCTGGAAAGCTGTTTTTCTTTTTCTCCCCCTGCCCCACTGGTGCTAGGGATTAAAGCAGGCCTTGTGAATAGAAGGCAAGAGAGCCACATCTCCAGCTCTCATTTTAGTTTTTTTAGCTTTTCTGTTTAAGGCTTCAAGGGGAGAGATGCAGGTTGACAGATTCCTAAAATGGTGATTAAGACTGGGGAGGAAGTGCTGGAAGTTCAGTGGGAGTCTCCAGCAAGTCAGGGCTAAGGTACATGTCCTAAACCCTTTCCTCTTTTTTTAATTATTTACTTAGACACCAGGGATCAAACTCACAATCTTGTGCTTGCCAGGCAGGTGCTTACATAGCTGAGCTAAATCCCCAGCTTCCCTTTATTATTTTTAATCTTTTTTTTATCGGTACCAGGGATCGAACTCACGACCGTCTGCTTGCAAGGCAAGTGCTTATGCCGCTGAGCTAAATCCCCAGCCCCTATTATTTTTATCTTGAGACATGGTCTTGCTAAATCTGTAAGTTACCCAGGCTGGGTTCAAAGTTTTTGTGATCCTCCTGTCTCAGGCTTAGAGCTGAGATTCCAGGTGTTCACCATGTTGGTGAGCTAGGACTGAGTCTTTGAAGCCCTAGGGTAGTAGTCGCCAGGCTCTGTCCTAGGTGATCCACTTGTATTTTGAGATGAAGTGCAGTTGTGTTTGTTGCTCAGGTTGGTCTGGAACTCCTGGGCTCAAAGAATCCTCTTGTCTCAGCTTCCTAAGTAGTAGTCTCCTAAGCTGAGACTACAGGCATCCACTTATTACACCAGTTCTAAGCGTTTTACTTCTAATAACACCTTTAAATTCTTTACTATGGGGCTACGAAGGAGGTGCTATTACTACACTATTTTAAGGGTGGGAAAAGGTTTTATGAAACAACAGGGAGATAGGAATCCACACAATCCCGATATAGTTTTCTTTAGCTATCCTGAAGCCTTGTGGGCTTTTCTGATAAGGAGTTGGTTGGGAGGTGGATTCTCAGCTTCTAAAGGGACCTAGGAATCCTGTACCTTCACTTGCATTGCTTCCTTCTTCCTTTCGGGTTTCCTGAAAAGTGCGGCAGAGGGGTTGCGGTCGGAAGTCCTGCAGTCGCAGCTCCCAGGCTGCAGGCCCTGGTCTGGATGGGGCTTAGACATCTGCTGCAGACCTCCGTGCTGTTTCTGGCCTTGGCAGTACCTTCAGAAGCCTCCCAGTACTGCGGCCGCCTTGAGTATTGGAACCCATATAACAAGCGTTGCAGCAGCTGTCAACAGCGATTCGGGTCACCTCCTTATCCGGGTGAGGAGCCGGGATTGGGTGTAAGGGTAAATCCAGGCTCAGATAGTGGATGACACAGAGCCGAGGAATGGGGAGGTGTGTGGGGTACGCCCAGTTGAGGCTTCGTTAGGGTTGGCAGGCTGAGCCGGCGCGGAACCGGATAGTGCGGGATAGGGCAACAATCAGATAGCAAGTGGAAGCGTGGGCGTAACGAAGATAAATCCGGGCGTGGGCGGTGCGTTGTGTAGAGCTGGTGGGGAAAGGGGCGAGGCCTGAATAGCCAGGTGGAAAGGGCGGGGCCTGCGTGGGAAGGGGGACCGGATGGGACATACGCTGATAGGATGGGTGAATACACAAGGGGCGGGGACAAGTAGGATAGGGCAAAAGGAAGAGGGTGTGGCTAGCGCTGAGGACTAGAGGCGCGGTAAAGCCTAATGAAGCCAGCATCTTCCACTAGACTACGAGTTTGTGGAAAACTGCGGGCACAATGACTTCGGCGATGTTTTGAAGAATCCGTTCAAAAAGTGTTCTCCTGGGCAGTGTAACCGCGACTTTGCGGAGCTGTGTACCCCCTGCAACGGCGGAGCCCTGGCCACTGCTCCCACTGGGAGCCACGGCGGAACCCGGCATCGCAATAGAGAGGTCCTGGTTCTGACTTTGGAGGGCTGGGCCGGGGCTCGCAGGAGATGGGGATGTGACGAGGCTGGCCTGGATCCAGGGAGGGGAATAGTGCTGTGTGGGTGGGCTGGAAGGTAGGAACTGAGGGAGACTGTGGCCCCATGGAAGGGGGAGGGAGTAGGGCGTGCCCCCTCCTTTATTCCCAACCTCTTCCCAGTCCTATCCCTGCCACAGGATTCTATTTCCACAGCTGAAGAAGTAAGTGTCTACATTGCAGGAGCCCACATCACCCGGGAGTTCCAGTGTCTCGTGGACGACTCAGAGCAATGTCTCTCCACTGCATTTTGTCCTGCCCTTGGTGCTGGTTCTGCCCTTGGTGCTGGTCCTACTCCTAATCTGCTTCCTCCTTCTGCAAAGGCATCACCAGCACAAGGAAAAAGTTCTTTCCCCTCTCTGCCCTGGCGTGTTTCCCAGAGACCCCAGCAACTACACCCTCTGCTTGCACTTAGCCTCCTCAGGCTCTTTGGAGGCTGGGCACACAGGAAAGATCCCTCTCCCAAGCAAGGGTAAGCTGGCGACAAACGCATCCAGAAGGGAAGGTTGTGCTGGAAACCTGCCCTTCCTCCCCTTTACGCCAGCCTGTCTCCCAGAGCTGGCAGGTCTGGCGACACAACCTCTGTCTCGCCTCTTGGATGAGCTGGAGGTACTGGAGGAGCTGATTGTGCTGCTGGACCCTGAACCTGGGCCCGGCGGTAGCACGGCCTGTGGTACCACTCGGCACCTTGCTGCAAGATACGGGCTGCCTGCTGCCTGGTCAACCTTCGCCTACTCCCTGCGGCCCAGTCGCTCACCACTGTGGGCCCTGATTGAGATGGTGGTGGCAAGGGAGCCGTCAGCCACTCTGGGCCAGTTCAGTGAACACTTGGTCCAGCTAGGACGGGCAGACGCACTGCTGGTGTTATCCAGGCTTGGCTGACCTGGGATCGGTGAGGGCCTACAATTAAAAATAGTTTCTTTGGAAACAAGTGTTTGCTGTCCTGATAACCATTTAGGGGCCTTCTCAAAGCACAACCCTAACTGGGCCAGGAGGACCTACCATCCCCTGCTTCTCCTTTCCTCAGAAAGGACTATTTTATCTAATAGCCACTCCAGCACAATAGAATATAAACACTTCCTGCTCTGCAGCCTCCATAGGCCCACAGTTCACTGGTAATTCTGCTGGACTGCCTCATACTTACTGTTAAGGCTGATGGACTTCCTTGGTTCAGGAAGGGTTAGGGACATGGAGAAGCGAGAGCTCCTGCCTGCCCTAAGCACTGTACAAATGGGAAAACCACTGCTCCAAACATTGACAGGCTTTATTGTGGGGGGTTCCCTCCTGGGACCCCACCCTCTTAAATAAAAAAGTGCATAGAAAAGAAGGGATTTAGAAACTTTTGTACAGTATCTACATCCTGGGCCCCAAGGCAGGAAGGGGGCGATTGCTAGGTGGGCTTAAAGGGCTGGGGGGCAGGGCCCTTGCCAACTGCATGCCCACCTCCACCCTGAACAGAAATGGTGGGAGTGAGATGCTCTGGGAGGGACTTAGGGACCCCCCAGGCCAGGGACAAGATGGCATCAGGGGGCTTGAGAAGCTGTGGCGGGCAGCCACTGCCTTAGTTAAGGAACCGACGGCAGCGCTTAGCGCCACAGTTGCAGGGCAGCTTGTTGCTGGCATCCTCAATGGGGAACTTGTAGTCATAGGTGAGCTCCTCACCACGCAGGATACGGCGCAAGGCAAAGATGACGATGTGCTTCTGGCCCTCCACATGGATGACACGAGAGAAGCAGTTGGGCTCACATGAGTGGTTGATGAAGCGGGCGGCGTTGCCGTGCATTGTGGCGTCCACCACATCAAAGTCATCCATGCGGAACATGTAGCACCCGATGCCCTACACAGTGGTTGAGGAAGTCAGGTGCTTGGTCCACATAGGCAGCCCACCTCCCTCACCTTGTTGCCATGACCCGTGGAGCCCACCTTCCCATCATAGAACTTCTCCCGCTTGTCAGTCAGCACAGAGCGAATGACAATGCCAGAGTATTCAATGACCATCTCGCCAGCATCAATGTTGCGTTTGCAGAACAGGCCTCGTCCATGGATAGCTGATCTGCAGGGAACGATGACAAGGGGGACCTCAGGAGACACGGGGACAGACCCCGGGCAGCCCCCAACCAGGACACTTGTTTATCCACCCAAGGGGCGACCCCCCTAACCCCACTAACCTATAGACACCCACAGCCTCTTTGGATGTCTTCTTGAGGTGGCGAAAGCGCATGGCCATAGGCAGCTCCAGGCTGGTGGCGCGTCTGTTGAGGGAGCAGTGTCACACGGGGCTGGTATCCAGGAATGACTTCTCACTCCTGCTCAGACCACTCCCAGCTCCCCTGTTTTCCCTCCTTACCTGGTTGACCTGAGCTGTACCTCATCCTCTTCCTCATCACAGGTGGCTCCTTCTGGGAGCACCCGGTGCTGGGACGCCAGGAAATTGAACATGTCAAAGGTGCACTTCCTGCAGGAGAGAGGAAAGAAAGAAAGGTCATAGCCTTTTCTCCAAGGAGATACCACCTAAATCTACCTGGGGCCTGGGCCAGCTGTTGGTACCATAGAGGGGCTACACTGTTGAAGACACAAAGGGAAAAAGGGTGGGGTTCAGTCTTCTTTCGGGAACTGTACAATCACTCTTGGTTTCAGTCTGTCCAGCCTTATGTCCTACTCTTGAGAGTTCCCACAGGGCTCCCCAGCCCTCTCACCGGAGATAGACCTCAGCGCGGGCAGCCCCATGGGGATTCAGGGGCGGTTCCTCCTGGCCCTCCCCCTGCTGGTGGTAGCGGAATTTATAGTGCTGGCAGCGCTGGGCCCCAGGCAGCTGTTCTGCCAGGAAGATGACAGCATCATGGTGGATGCCTAGAAGCCTTGCCCCACTCATTCCTGAGGAGAGAAGTTGAGGACACACAGATTATGTAAAAGGGGATATGGGAGTAGGGGGCACATGATTCCAGGCACCATGTCCTTGTGGTTCACTACTTACCACTAAAGGAGAGATGTCTGAGCCGAGCATGTCCTCGGGCCTCTTGCACTTTCTCAATCAGAGTTCTCCATGCCCCTAGAGTGAAGATAAGGCACAGCAAAGTCAGGATGCAGTCTGATGGAACGCCTGCTCTCCTGCCACTGTTACTCCCAACTCACCCTCCAAGCTCTCTGCCTCCACACTGAAGCCATCCTCACTGGTGATCTCAAAGCGCAGATGTGGGCCAGCCCGTTTTGGAAGCTGGTTCTCTTTATCCTCTGGGGATGGAGGCTCTTCCTCAGAGCTGGAGGCTTCACCTGGTCCCAGTGAGTAAGAGTAGGACAGGATCACCTCACATGAACTCAAAAGCCCCCAAGCTCCCCACAGACACCATTCTCCCCTCACTATGTCCCCAGACACAGCACAGACACGGGTCAAATGGTCTTCCTCCAGCCCCCAAATGCCTGGTGAGCCCTGGGGAATGGACAAGGTTTTTCCAAGGAGCTGTCTCTTCTTTTTTTTGATACTGGGAATCGAACTCAGGACCTTCTGCTTGCCAGGCAGGCACTTATGCTGCTGAGCTATATTCCCAGTCCCAGCTCCTCTTCTGCAGGATGTTGGGTGTAAGATCAGATTCATGAAGCAAAGTGTTTTTTTGGGTTCTGCAGGCCACATCAATGGATTATTCAAATACATATACTCTAAATGCCCATCTACCTGTAATTATTTTGCTTTTCACATTAAAGTACTTGTGAGAGAGTATGGCAGCAAATACTTATTAATTCCAGCACTCTGGCAAGCTGAAGCAGGAGGATCCTAATTCTCATCCAGCCTTGACAACTTAGTGATTTATCCAGACCTTGTATCAAAATATAAAAAATATGCTAGTGTTGGGCTTGATGGCATATACTTATAACCCCAGGACTTGGGAGACTGAGGCAGGAGGGTCACCACAAGTTTGAGGCCAGCCTGGGCTACTAGTGAGTTCAAAACCAGCTTGAACTATTAACATACCCTGCTCAAAAACAAATAAACAGAAAGTGCTAGGTTTATTCTTCAGTACCAGGAAAACAAAAACACTATAGCATTATGTATTTACACGGAATCTTTTTATATGCAATAAATTTATTTTTCCTTTTCTTTCTTTCCAGGACCTGGTACTTGCTATTAAGGACCTCTATTACTCATATATTCGTCTAGTCTTATTTTTTTTTTTTGTCTTTTTCATTTTTTATCGGTACCAGGGATCGAACTCACGACTGCCTGCTTGCAAGGCAGGCGCTTATGCCGCTGAGCTAAATCCCCAGCCCCATCGTCTAGTCTTATATGCAATAAATTTTTTATTTATTTGAGATGTGTCCTTACTGTTTCCTTGGTTGGTCTTAAGCTTCTGAGCTCAAGCAATCTTTCCACCCAAGCCTCCTCAGGAGCTGAATTTACAGGTGTGTGCCATCATGCCCAGCTGTAAATTTGATCCTGTGCTGCTGAGCCATATCCTTCAGCCCTGTAAATTTCTATAAATATTACAAATATGTATCCTACAGGTTTGGAACACAGTACCAAGTATACTGAAGTGTTCGCTGAATTATGAACTACTTAAAGGACTTTCCAGAGATTAAGAAATTTTGAATATGGAATAGAGAACTTGCTGACAAACAACAGATGTGGATATGACAAGAGCAGTGGTCAAGGACAACCTAGAAACGTGGGTTTGAACAAAGGAAGTACAGAACTGCCACTAACTGTAATGGTCAGAGTAAGGAAGGAACAAGTTTGTGGTGAAGGTCAAGTACTCAGTTTGGAACATGTTGATTTTAGGATGCCCTTTAGAAGATCCCCCCTCCTGCAAGCTGCTGGTGGAGATGATGAGACAATAGCAGAATGCAGGAGCCTGGAGCCCAGGGCCTATGTCTGGGCTGGAGAGAACAATGTGGGAACTATCAGAATACAGATAAGAGTTCAGCTCTGAAGCCACAAGAACATATGGGGGGCGGGGGGAAGATAGAGAACATAGAGCCATAACACCCTGACACACTAAAACTGGCAGTTAGGAAAAGAAGCAATCTTTGGCTAGAGCTAAGAGGAAAGTGTGAGGTCTTGTTTTGAGGAGGCAGAAGTTAGCTGTACCAAACATAGGGGATAGACTGAGGGCTGACCTAGGTATACAGGGTTGGGGGGAGATGCAAAAGCTTGAAGGGAACATGATTTTGGAGAGCAGGACCCACAGGGCCACTGTCTTACCCTATTATGTCTCAAGGCCACAGTGTTCCCACCTCCCTACCAGGCTCAAGTGAGATGCTAAACCAGACTCTGCTGTAAGGTTAACACCTCCAGCCCTCAGCAAAGTTAAGGTTCACCTTTAACAATTGCTTCCACCTCTTCTTCTGTGTTTCCCTATTATACCTCCACTCTGTTCCCCAAACACAACAGGGCTGGCTGTAGGACCCTTGCCTAGGGACTTTCCTGTTGCTTGTTTTCTACTATGGTGCTGCACAACAAACGTGTCTGTTTCCCTACCGAAACTTGGTATGGTGCTTAAGGGCAGGAACCTATCTGTTATAGTCACTGCCACAGCCTCATGCTGTTTGATCGCTTAAGCAGCCTCTCAGTAAAGCAGTTTCAGGCCACCTCCCTCTACGTCCATGCTCAGCAGCTAAGCAGTGTGTAATCAGAAAATCCAAACACCTGGACATGATGAGCCACAACAAATCCCGAGCCAAGAGACTGGAGCTTACTAGTTGCTCTCATTCAAAGATCAACAGAGAACTTAACTTCCAGCTTCACTAAGTGGTAGCAAAAACTCCTTTTTGAGTTCCTCTATGCAGGTCCCAATCTCTGCATACAAACCTCCCTTACCACCTTTCCCCTAGCTCAGAGCCTGTTTAAAACCTACCACGCTATCTCCTCCATCCTCTTTTCCCTCTATGACCACTTCTTTCCTTTTATCCTTGACCTTGCCGTCTCAGCCCTCATATCCA